TTTTTCTGCTGATTTTTAATACCGCAGGGTGTAAAGCAATATTCTGACAAAATTTAGAGGTATATTCCGCAAAAAAATAGATTTACCTACGACCACTACTGTATATACTTAAAAATACACCGTCTGCGATCAATGTAAGATTCCTATTACGTACGGTAACAAAATCACACAGCTTGGTAAAAAAATCGTACAGTTTTCCTAGCAAACAGTATTGTATTGACCGTTGCAGACGGTTGCTAGGAAAACTGTACGATTTTTTTACCAAAGTGTGCGATTTTATTACCGTACGTAATAGGAATCTTACATTGATCGCAGACGGTGTGTTTTTAAGTATTTACAGTAGTGGTACAGTTTTCCTAGTAACCGCCTAGCAACGGTCAATACAAACAGTATTGTATTGGCCGTTACTAGGCAATTGCTAGGAAAACTGTGCGTTTTTTTTACCGTACGTAATAGGAATCTTACATTGATCGCAGACAGTGTGTTTTTAAGTACTTACAGTAGTGGTCGTAGGTAAAATACTTTTTACAACACTTATTACGTAATATACTTTACCTACGACCACTACTGTAAATACTTACAAACACACCGTCTGCGATCAATGTAAGATTCCTATTACGTACGGCAAAAAAATCGCCATATACATACGCCTTAATTTGGCCATATTCCTTTATATTGATATTCAGTGGGGATCTTTACATTTATCTACATTTTGTTCCATTCAAATATCTTAATAAGAAAGAAGCAAATTGCAGTAAAAATAGAACATAGATCGCCCTGTATACAGGGTGTGCCATTTAACACTACCGCTGCCAATATCTCCGAAATGAAGATATTTATTACAGTTCCGGAAAATGGGTTGTTAGATCCCTCGAATAGCTTAAAATTGCAGTTAGAATTGTTAGTTCAAATCTCCATGTATAGATGGCGCACAAAAAATTTTTTGATTCCTGGAACCTGGAATTGCGGTTCATCTGAAAGATTGTTAAATTTTGAGTAATTTTAATAATATAAACTCTTTCCCAATATTTACTTGTTTTCGAGATACGTCGACTTCAATGTGCAATGTATGATTTAACAGGAAAATCTATTATTTTATTTAAATCGCGCGAGACAAAATATTCTTTCAAAATATTGTTACAATGGCTTTATTCACACCACATACTAACTAACAAACAATAAATTATAAAAAAACAAATGATCAACTGCAGAAAAAAAAATGTACAATGGTAAATGTTATTTAATAAATTTAAATGCAGCTACGGCGGTTTTTGATCGTGACATTTTATTAAGAGCTTGTAATGTCGAACTAACGAGAAGATTGTGTATTAATGCTAAAGGACGTAATTTTGAACATTTATTATAATCTTTGTTGCAACTTTCTTTAGTAACTAGGTACATCTACTTTTCCGTTCGGTATTATTTTAAATACTTTCTGTTACTTTTTCTGTACTTGATCATGTTTTTTATATATTTTACTGTTTGTTAGTATGTGGTATGAATAAAGCTTTTATACCAATATTTTAAAAGAATAATAGATTTTCCTGTTAAATCATACATTGCATATTGAAGTCGACGTGTCTCGAAACCAAATAAATATTGGGAAAAACTTTTTAATACAAAAATTACTCAAAATTTAACGAACTTTCAGATGGACGGCATTTCCACGTGTTCCAAGTAACAAAAATTTTTTTATTATCGCCATGCCATCTATAAAGAGAGATTTGAACTAACAATTCTAATTTGAAGCTATTCGAAGGACCTAACAACCTCAGTTTCCGGAACTAAAATAAATATCTTCATTTCGAAGATATTGGCAGCGGGAGTGTCAAATGGGACACCCTGTATATGGAACGAATTCTGTGTGGTCACATACATTTAAAACAATTATGGCCTTAGCGCTCTATATGGTATGGCCATTACCACCTAAATTATCAAGGCCTCTACGTTTCATGTCAGAGTTGACAGATACATCAATAAAACGTTAAGGATATGAATTTGAGTATTAAAAGTTCAGTAAAATTAAATAGATATAAAATGTGTAATGACCGGAAGCTAAAGTACATAATAGAGATTTAGTTATGAACAAAAACTGTATTTAATGTGAATAATATTATACAGCGTCACTCACCTCAAATAGAAGCACCCTTTTAAAAAAATATTTATTGACGGATTTATTTTTTTAAGATAGAGCTTAAAAAAATCTATCAAATCACACATGATTTGAATTTATTTTCAATTATCAAAGTCTCCTTTCAATTTTTTGTCGGTGTCTGAGACAAAAATTGATTAGCGATTTTTTATTTAATATTTGACTACACCACTGGATTCTGTACTCTCGCCACGAAATTTGTACGAAATTTTGAGAAAGTATATTACTCATTGTAAAATTAGTATTAAACGTTTTATCATTTTCGTTCTTTCTAAATTGGAGAAAGTATCAGAAGGTATCTGGCAAAAGACGAAATAAAAACTGTTTGTCCATACTTTGGAATTGGGAGATGAAGAAATACGATTGGAGTTTTGTTATTGGCTACAGGGAGAATATTTAAATAATCCTAAATTTTTAAGTGAAATTATATTTAGTCATGAGGCCATATTTACTACAAATAGGGTAGTTTCGTCCCAAAATTGTCGTCATCCAGAATTCATTATAAACGCAAAGAGACAGTATTCGCAAAAAGTTAACGCTCAGTGTGGAATATTAAATAACAAAATGCAATGACAACAATTTGAATGCAAATAGATTTTTAAATTTTCTTAAGAATGAATTTCGGAACGCATTAGATGATTTGCCTTTTAGAAATCTCCTTAATTTAAAGTTTCAATTAGATGGTAGCCCTATTCATAACGCTGCCGCTGTTGCGGTGAGAGAATGGTTAAACGAACATTTTGATATTATCACGAAATAATCCTTTAATTGAGTGGCCGGCGAGATCCCCGGGCTTAAACCCATTAGATTTTTTCTTTGGAGTTTATTGAAACAAAAGTTTATAAATCAAGGCCACTAATTGTACATGAACACGTGCTAGGAGAATGAAAGCATGTGCAGAAATTACTCCAAACCAAATACAAAAAGTAATTACGAACGTACGTAAAGGAATTAAGAAGTGCATAGAAGTAAATGGTGGACTGATAAAAGTGACGAGAATATAATTATTTAACTCTTGTTGGTTTCAGTTTCATTATTTTATTTTTAAATTTGTTAAAACTAAGATTATTAATAATCATTATAATACCACATTACTTTAGTTTAATTAATTTCATTTTCTTGCTTCTGTTTTGCTTCGTGGACAACTTGATATCAACAATAAATTAATTAAAAAAAGTAGACTTCTGAATTTTTGATTTGGCTACAAAATCGTTATTTAAAAATTTTTGATAAAATTTGGTATTGGCCCGTTTTGGGGGGTCGTGAATCCAGTGGCGTAAATATATTTTTCTCAAAACATCCCTAATATGATAGATTAGAATTTTACTCCTAAAAACGGACGTAGTACGCCTTGGAGTTTGTGGGATCACGCTCATTTTCTTTCACAAAGCACACTTCATCAAGCACATCTTAAAAAAAATCCGGTTAATTTCGCACAATAAGTAAAGATTTTATAGCGTGGCTTAAAAACAAATAGGTGGTAATACGACTAAATAGGCCAGGAAATGTAGAGTTGGACGCGACTTTTTGTTTCGGCAAGCTGAACTATAGATGCTAAATATTATGTACAATAACATATTAGTTTCCACAATCATAAAAATGGGGGGAAGATTGTTTATAGGGTGGTTAATTGAATAATTTTTACGTAAATTCACGTTTTTCGCTTATAACTTTTTTCCGTTCATTTCCACGAGAAAACAGTAAAGTACTATTTTTTAGTCTTCAAGAAAACTAGCCCTCGAGCGTAAAAAAATATTGATTAGATCAAAAGTTATAAACAGAAGAAGTTTATTTATGACTTTTGAATTAGACATTTATAAGCTGTGTTATCATTACCAGAACGTTTTGACATCGCATCCTTTATTCCTTATCACTGTCTAATAACTCACGAAATCTGGAATCGCTAAGTTGAATAGTTTAAGTCGTCAAGATTCGTTGATAAACAACGTAGTTACAGACTGTCAAAGTTGACGGCCTATTGTTAAACGAATTAGGTTGGTAGCGGCAAAAAAAAAATACTGTCATAACCGGCAACCCGAGTACTTTCCCAGATAAAAATATTTCATTTGTGGAAGTATGTTAAGTGTATAAGAAATATTGTCAAAAGTCAGTGGGTTGCTTGATTTTTCGTCGAGCCGAAGCGCGGCGGAAGGATGGAGGAAGCGAACGACAGCGAATCCGAAGAAAATGATAATATTCATAGTCCTGCCGTTAAAAAAGCGATATTCGCTTGAAAATATTATTTGACAGTCTGTAACTCCGTTGTTGTTCAACGAATCTTGAAGATTTTTTTTTAACTTAAAGCTCCTTTCATAAGCTTTCCGAATATGTAATAATATATAACTATATCAAGGCTAAAAAATAAAAAAAAATTCATGTTGCAATTTGAAATAAAAAAAAAATGATGGATTTCAATTATGAAATCTACTATGAAAAAGTAGTGCGATTGTGGAAGATGCTCGGGATCGTCCAGACTAATAATTAGTTAATTTGTTTATAAGGCCATAACTTGTAAACTTGTTCAACTTAACCGATTCCAGATTTCGTGTGAGTTATTAGTGATAAGGAGGATGCCAAAACGTTCTGGTAATAATAACGCAGTTTATAAATGTTTAATTCAAAAGTCATAAATAAACTTCTTCTGTTTATAACTTTTGATCTAATCAATATTTTTTTACGCTCGAGGGCTAGTTTTGTAGGTCTTTTGAAGACTAAAAAAAAAAGTACTTTACTTCGTACTTTTTTCGTGGAAATGAACGGAAAAAAGTTATAAGCGAAAAACGTGAATTTACGTAAAAATTATACAATTAACCACCCTGTAAACAATCTTCTCCCCATTTTTATGACAGTGGAAACTAATATGTTATTATACATAATATTTAGCATCTATAGTGATAAATTCAGCTTGACGAAACAGAAAGTCGCGAAATTGTCATTTCGCAGCTCTTTTACCTGGCCTATAAAAGTTTGTTGAAATATCGCTGTTACACCCTGATTAAAATTATAAATGTTAAAATCAGTTATCTGCTGAAACAGTATCACTTGCAGTAAAAAAAATTGTGAAAACCGAATTGGTCAATTTTATATTTTTTATCAAATATACCTACTAAATGCAGATTTTCTAAAATTATCGAACTTTTTACTAGGTAAAGCACGTATTCTTTCCTCGAAACAAGCCAAAGTTCCCCATTACTCCTTCGGAGTGACCTTCTTCAGCACTATAGTGAACGTGAAGGTGTGAGCGGGCGACGACTGGGGAGTCGAAGAAGGCGAAGAGGACGAAACGGTGACGGTGGGGGGATGCTTGGGGTAGTGCTTGGGGGAGGGGGACACGGACACGGGGGGCGGTTGTTGAGGCGCAGCAGTGGCCTTATGTTAGTTGGAGGAGTGCTTGCCATCCGAGGAGGCTAGCTCGCTGGAGGCGCTGCTGCTGAGGGTCGTGTTGGATCCGTAGGGGTCCAGAGAGCTCTGGACCGACATGGACCGGCCCTGGGCCTGCCGCCTTACCCTATTTGGTGACAGTTTTCCGGGGTCGACACTTGCCGGGTCTGCCTGCAACATGGAGTGCTTGACCATCTAGGCGATGACTTTGACAGCTATGAAAGCCACAGAAAAGTAATCATGCAACTAGTGAGAGTTAGAAGTTAATGCTAATAGAAAACTAACGAAAGCTTTAAATGCCCGACCGTAATTTAAACAGGGTGATTTTGATTGTGGAGTTTTAATAATAACATAATTAATAAAAGTCAGTTCGGATTTAGAAAAAGTTTGGCGACCAAGATGCAATTTTATCTTTATATAGCTTTATATTAAATTCATTAGAAAATAAAGACAAATGTGCATGTATACTATTTGATTTGACTAGGGCATTCGATGTAGTTGAACATACACTTTTGTTAAGCAAGTTAGAAAGGTATAGAAAGGTAAGGAAGAACACAAGAAGTTCATTTAAATGGCAATGGTATTCAATATTTTTCACAACCGAGGTATATCCAATTAGGTGTCCCTCAAGGGAGCATTTTAGACCCATTTTTGTTCTTACTTTTTATTAATAACATTGAAATGATTGCTAACTCAAAAATATTTACATACGTGAAAACAATTTAACAAATTTCATTATACGTGCCAATACAAGTCAGTCTTGTGGCTATAAACTCAGAGAATCTCTTAATTTAAAAATACCCCAGCATCGTCTATCGTTAACGGTTAATGGCCTTTTTATTATGTCCATTAAATTAGGTATATAAGTTGCCAACGCATATTAAACAAATAAATTATTGTGTTCACTTTCGTAACAAAGTAAAGCGAATTCTCTTGCAGAATACCTTCTATAGTATTGATGAGTATATGTGTTGTGTCTTCAATGAGTCTGGTTTTTAATTTTAATTTTTTTATTGTAATTTTTAATTTTTTATTGCAATTTTTATTCTATATTTTGTAATTATGTTCTATATCTTGTCATTGGTCTATATTTTGTAGTTTGTCCATATACAATTGTTATCTGTTTTTTAGTTGTGTTAGATACTTTCAATAATTTTCGATACTTTGTATGAGCAAAGTCTTATGAAATAAATATATTATTATTATTATTTCAACGGCTGCCTATTTGTAGCAAATAACATACTGTGTTATTTGCATATGAAAATGTCTGTAATTTAATAGTATATTAAACAACAAATGTATTAAAACGAATACTATTTTTTGCATTTTGTGTTAGTAAGTAGCAAATAGTGATAGATGTAAAAACATTACAAAGTTAGAAATTGAGAGTCGAATTGATTCTAAGTTATATTAATTATAAAAATGAGTCTTGCTACTGAAAACAATTTAGAAAATTGTTCTGAAGATATTTTAAATACCGCTCGAGAAGTACGAACTTACTTCCTTTAAAATCCAAGAAAAAATACGAGAAGGTATATGAAATAGGTATTTTGTAAGTGAAGGATGACAAAAAACGCACTAAGAACTGATAAAAGTGTATTGCTAGTGTATTTTTTTGAAAAGCTATTTTTTATACATATTTTAGTGTTTTTCATACAATGTCTTTCGTTATTTTAGACAAAATCTCTTAAGGTATCCAGTTTATGGTCTACTCAATGATTCCCAAAGTGGTTTATATCGGGGTCCACTAGAATGGATCCCATATAAGCAGATCGTGATTGAAATTTTGGGTTTCATAAATGAAATAATTCACGTAACACAGGTAGTATTTATGTAAGTACTTACTAAAATTTTCTTCTTAGAGACACATAAATTACATGAAGTAAACATTTTTAATAAAATTATTATTATGGAGTATAGCGAGAAAAATTTTGATAATTTTTCCATCCATACCGCATGGAAAGGAGTTTTAGCGCAGTTGCCAATCTTCTTACCAAAAATAGAAACAAATTAGAAATTACCGATCGGAGGAGATTTAAGGTTAAACCTAACTAAATTGAAGCCAAATATTGCAAAATTTGCTATTAAAGTATCAGGCTCATCCATCCCAAAGTATTTATTTTTTTTGTGTAGTTATTTTATATTATAATTTTGCCATATTTATTTGCATTGTGTGTCAATTTAAATAAATACATCATACATCATACGTCATAAATACATGTGTAAAACTTAATGTGTTTATTTATAACTTTTTCACTCTACAATTAAACATAACAATGTGAGTGGCACTGAGTTAGCTATCAAAAACACATTTGAAGTTGATGAATTTGTAACAATTCAATACTAGAAAGGCGAGGGTCTACAAAAACCAGAAAAAATTGGCACATGGTTTACGAGACAAAAAAGTTTGGGGACCTCTGTTCTACATATTCCATGTTGAAAAGTACCATATAAATAAACGAAAATATGGATATATCACAATATAAAAAGCTACTAGCCTTTTTAAAACGTCAAAATGAAAAGAAGAAGCAAAGAAATCAACAGTTTTGACAATGGAAAACTTTACTATATTTTTAAAAGAGGCTCCAGACGATAAGTTCTTATTAATGTAAGTGGTACTAATATTTCTTTTAAAGGGGACATATCGGCGTGCAATTCAACTGTTAAAGATATAGAAGGCACGTGGAGCGCCAGGACAAAAGGAGGTCCCACAAAGCGCCTACACCGGCCGCATTTGCGGTCAGGGTAGACGACGGATGGGGCCCACCTACGAAGGCTGTCCAGGCCTACACGAGATGAGGCAGGATAAAGAGGGATAATCTCCCTCGATCCCAAATCATTGAAGCCAATTTCTAGCCATGGAATAATGGCGGTTATAACTTTACATGATACCAAAATAAAAAGAAACGTGTATTTACCGTAGGTTCAGAGAGCAACGGATATGACATTTTTCATAAGTATTTACAATTGAGACCTAAACAAGTAAAACTCAATTTTTCATTTACTTTACCTAATCGTTGAGTGAGGATACTATTTCCTCACTCAACGCTATAATCACGATAAGTGCACAATACAACCAATTGAGATCAACAATTTTGCAAAAGAGTTGCAGAATACTTAAAACTCCCAGATGCATCAAGTTGCACTGACCATTGCTTGAGGAGGACACCTGCCACCTTCCTCGCTAACAATGGAGCTGATATTCAAACACTTAACAAGACATGGATGATGACAGTGAATAGTGTGGCTGAAGGGTATATCAAGGAAAGCATCATCAATAAGTTGAAAATTTCAGAAAGTATGTTTCATCAGCAAGAACTAGTGGCACTAGTTTTTTAAAACACTGACAATGATGCACACCTAAATTAAATCTATTAAAAACTCAAACCAAAAAGTGATTATTAAAACGTCAAAGAGCACGACCGTTAGAAATGACAGCAAAAAAAAACAATTTATTTTGCGAGGTAGTACAAATGTATAATTATAATTAATAATTACAAACCGGAATCAGAATCATTAAATTCAAAAGTAAATATCTCTGCTATTATAAAGCTTTCATTAGACTCATTTTTTGAGAAGCGAATTATTTTGGCACTGACTATAACCTCGTAAAATTAAAACCCCACTTTCGAAAACACACTGTAATCTGTTGTTAGTATAAGATGAACGTCGCATGTCCATGCCATGCACAAGAAGAGATATTAAATTGTCGGTGGAAGATTTAGGACCAAAAAATCTGTTTGTATCAATCTAAAAATTCGGTCCCACTACAAACTTAACTACTCAAAATCAGTTGGACTTCCTCTGTTGTCCAGATGATACAAATTTTTTATTCATTTAGGAAATGCATTTTTCTCTCATTACATATTCAGATTGACATGGACGAACGACTAGATTTATCTTTGGTACGCTGCGTTTTTGTTATATAGAAGCTTATTGTTTATAGTTTAAACCTTTTTCAATTACTATTGCTTATTTTTGTTACTACTTCTCATGCCTAAACTACCAAAAGAAAAACTTTATATACAGGGTGAATTTGAATTCAACGCGGTTTTCGTGGAATTTTTTTGCAATTTCATTGCATTGTTAGCTTTTCAACTGTTTTAGGTTTCTTTAAACCTATCTTAAAAACAGAAAGTAATTCCAAATTTTTTAAATACAATTTCAAGAATATCCAACGTAATCACCACCTTGTATATGTATATACATATGCTTGTTTATAAATATTTAAATGCTTAGAACCAATCTATAATTAGTTCAGAACTATACTACTGCATAAAATAATATCACATTTATTATACTTTAGTTATTTAGATCAAGACTGATTTGAAGTTAATAGAAATTCCCATGCATATTACGTGTACTATAACTATGTATATATAGAGTGTAGCAATATTTAAAATTATACAAGTGATTCTCTGATCTAAAATAAGAAAAAAATCATATGAACGTATATCCTCAAATGCTTGGATCTTGAAATCCAAGAGATATAGTTTATTTTATAATTCTTTATTTCTTTCTTTTTTCTTTTTAATTTTATTATTCTTTATTTATTTTATTTATTTATTCTTCTTATTCTTTCGCTTATTTTTTATTCTCTCTTTTTATTCTTTATCTTTTATTGTACTTTTTTATTTTATTTTTCTTTATTATATTATTTTATTATTTTAATTTTTGCGTCCATTTTTGTAATAGATCAGTCAAATTCAGTTTATCAACTTCTTTGTGAAAGTTTCGAGTTACCTTTAGTAATAATCTACAACTTCGATTTTACTTTGAACACTTTGAAATCGCGATTTTAATTTTTAATTGATATTGAGTTCTGTTTTTATTAATAATTCTCATTTTCGTCAAGTTTTCGCTGATTCTGGCAGTATAGGTCCTTTAGAATCACAATTTCAACATGAATTGGGTCTTTGCCTGCTGAATACATCACCAGAATCAATACGATCCTATCCTTTCTGAAAGCTGTCCAACAAATCCCTCAAGCTCCTCAACAATCTTCCATCATTCTTCTCAAATTTTTATGGTTCGCCAGTCTGAGATCTTTATGACCATCTGTGCATGTTTATGCCTGGTAAACGTAACGGCATTTTTGCCTTCTCTTCCAGAGACCAGTTGTTTCCTCTAACTTCTGCCTGTAACTATTTTAAGGAAGTGTTTGATGACATTCTTTCCATCAATGGTTGGCGGCTTTATTCCTGAAGATATGAGAGAATTACGTCCAGCCTTCTTTTTCTAACAATTGTACAAACTTTTCTAGACTTATAACTTCACTTTATATCTTAATTACGTTTTCTTCCACGATTTGGATTATGTCTTGCATCTCATTCCTAAGTTGCATCATTTCTTCTTTCACAATTTCTTCAAAATCTTTGAGATTATCCTTAATCACCTAAGTTCTAAGTTCCTATTTATTAAATTAATATTCATTTCATCCTGGTTGTTCTTCATTTCACTTCTTACAATTAGTTGTTTTTTATTATTTTTCTTGTAAACTGTTCTTTGCTTCATCCTGGTTGTTCTTCATTTCATTTCGATTGTTACTCACTTCCTTTTTCATTTCTTCTTCCAGTTTCTTCAAAATCTTTGGGATTAACATTCATTTCATCCTGGTTGTTCTTCATTTCATTTTTTACAATTAGTTATTTTTGATTATTCTTCTTGTAAACTGTTCTTTTCTTCATCCTGGTTATTCCATTTCATTCACTTCCTTTTTCAAATCTTCCTTCATTTCATCCTGGCTTTTCCACATATTCTTAATCATTTCTATGTAACGTTTCGATTTCTGCAGATTTTGATCTCATAATTGGAAACTCGACTCCAAACTTACTTCTTTGTGGGACGCCACATTCCTGACATCAATGTAAGGTTGGCAAAACTTCACTTCCAAAATTTATATTAAAAAAAATGGATTAGATTTGCAACGCTTCAAAAAATTTACGAACTTGAACGACAAATGTCGACAACATTTATTTTTTTAACTTTGACTTTTATATCTTTGTTATAGAAGACATATTAAAAAACTGGTAATATAGGAACAATCAAGAACCAAATAAAACACTATTTTTAATTATGTGAAAGCAGTTGCCGATCTCCATTAATGTGAAATCTTTTAATTTTTGGTCAGGGAATGACTTAATAATTTTGTCTGTGAAATATTGCAACACCCTGTATATTGATTAATTGAAAACACGTGCAGCCATGCATTTACATTTTGTATCTATAAATGGCTTGTTATTTTACGTTTTCGTCTCCACGATTTCATTTCTTCTAATTCCATTTTAAAAAACCCTAAACAATTTTCAAATAAAAAAATGTTTCAAGTGAACAACATAAACAATATTCTCTTTCTAAAGTAAAAGATGCCTAGCTCTGTTTAAATAAAACGTAGCAATAACTTCTATGTGTCATTCCCTCGTCAACTACGAATCAAAATGCTATAAAGCGAAGTTCACACGAAGACGAGCAGTAATATAGCTTCGTTTCGAGTAGCGAACTAATAATAAAGCAATAACTACTGCACCTGGTACGCTAAAGCATTCATAATGATACTGTAGGGCACCAATCCTAGCGGGTGGATTTCCCTCATGAGGACGTTAGCGGGAATCTTGTGGAACTGGATGTATTCCAGGAAGTTACCTATTACGTCCTTTATGCTCGTGCTCGGGTTGTTGTCGCAGTACTTCTTGCCTAATGCCGAAAGAAATAGGTTGCTAAATAGTATACATACAGGATGATTCCAAAGCCTTGTTACAAACTTTGGTAATAGAAACCATGAGTTTCTATTGGCTGTAATTGTAATATCTTGTAGTAAGGCTAATGAATCATCCAGTATTGATAGAAATAACTAAATTTTTATTACCCCACATTAGAGCAGCTTGGAACTTGGTAAACTCATCGGCTTGCAGTTCATCTCTGGCCAGAATCAGCCTGACTACGTGCTGGGGTAGCAATGTAAAAGATCCCAAGTTTAAAACTTCGTTTCCGTGTTCGTCGACGAATTCTAAAACCTGAAACCAAAATGAATCAGTGTTAAGTAAAGAAAAACATTCACATGTTTTATGTGTGTAGTAAAGCTAATTAGGAACATAGTTTATGTAAAATGTAGACAAACTAAATGTAACAGTAAATTTTTCTGTGGCTTTCAGTTGTCAAAATATAGGTACGATTTGTAATGAACAAAAACTGTCTATCAGGTTCAATAATGTTTACAGGGTGTAAGAAGTATGACTGCCATAACTTTAGCATGAGATAGAGTAATCATAAATGAACAAAAAAGTTCCATATTACAGGGGTGTAAGATTAACAGTTTTCAAAATACAGCGAATATTAATATTGGGCAGTTTAATCACAACGTAACAATAGCGCTACACAGCTGATGCACACCACGTGTGCACAAGTTAGACTTGTCATTTGGAAAAAATGTTTTCAGTTTTTAAATAAAATGTATCAATATTGTAGTACGAAGATAGTGTTGTGCTTAAATGTTAGCTCGAATTTTAGTAATTATGAATTTCTTAACACAGGAGCTTCACTTTTAATCAAATTATGAATTTGAAAAATATGTAATTAAAGATTCACGTCGTCCAAATAATCATACGTATTAAAAATAATTAAAATAAATAAAGTTGGAGAGTTTGATCTTTTTTTCCCGGAAACGGTTGAGTTTAGGACCTATGCCATATAAGGTTTTTATTTAAGTTCATTCCTTAACTCATATTTATTTTCTTTCCCTCACATTTACTTAAATATATTTGAAGATGTTTAAAAGAAAAATATAAGATCTAGGTTAGCAAGTAATATGTATAAGAGAGTGTTCCAATTTTGTCCGAAAACAAGTCATTTCATAATTAGGTATTAATCATATTATTGTTAATATAATTAGGTACTACATTCAATTGAAAGTAATTCTAAAACTGAATTGAAAACAAAATCAAACGTATGCAGTGGCGTGCAAATATTTCTTTTAAATAATTACGAACGCCCCTGGTTTTTGGACGTACGTTAATACTATTTTTTTCATAACAAAATTTGAAGAATGACCCTCTGAAATATTTTAGATTACTTAGGAACTACCCTGTATTCAGGGTGTATTTAAATGAAGGGGCACAAATGATACCAGAGATTCTTTAGGTGATTTAATCTAACATACCTACATTCCAAGTCGCATAATAAAAGAGATACAGGGTTTCAAAGTGAAAAATAAAAAATAGTTTTTCCTGATTAGTCCATGAACATGAACTTATAAAATCAAAAATATCTAAAAATAAGTATATCTACGATTTTTCTTCAAAAAAATCCAATACATCATGTTTTGTTACTAAAAGCTGTATACGGCGGCTAACAAAAAGTTAACATGCATAACATTGTCTGCAGAGAGCACCCCACACACGACAGCCAAAAATGATTATGATATTATTTTTCCCACCCTGAAAAAATCTCTCGCTAGAAAAATCGGAACGAGTCTGACTAAAACTTTAGAAATTATTAAGGAAAACCCATTTTTTATTTTTCACTTTCACACCTTATATCTTCTTTATTATGCGACTTAGGATATAGGTATGTTATCAGCTTATTTTCACTTAAGTAATCTTTGGTATCATTTGTACCCCTTCATTTAAATACACCCTGTATATGTGAGTATAAAAGATATACCTACGATTGATTTTTTGGACTTTTATAATGAAAAAGCATCAGTGATAGTTAAATATTTTCATAAACTTTCAATCAGTTTAATAATATTTAACGATAATAAAATAAACTATTTAAATAGCCGTAGTATAAAATGAGCCACCACTGTACACATAAAACGACGACATTTATTCAGAAGCCGCAAACATTTTATGGCCACATTCACATACATATAGGCTTTTGCTTCTGTAATCTATAATATAACCTCGCTGGTATTTCCTGTTGTTCAAATTACACACCCGCATGTCTCACTACAATGGCATGTAAGCTTCTGCCAAGATTTCCTTCTGCGGAACATAATAAATATTCATTTAATATTTTAGCTCGTTTTAATTTCCATTCATATCAGTTACATAGGTTGAATTTACGAAGAAAACGACTTACATTAGCGGTTCTGCCAATTTCGCTTACCTTTTGAACCAAGGACTTTGTGCACTTGTACTGTATGTAGCGTTCAGCGGAGGCCAGGAGGGCGCAAACTGTGTCAACGTTTATGCAACACTGCACAAAGCCGGCACAAGCTCTGCGGAGTTCATCGAGGCCGTAGTAATCTGCTGCATTCATAACACCTAGAAAGAGAAATGGCATGAAAACGCTGGTAAATATAGACGGTCTAGGATCGAAAATAACTTCCGCCTAATATCGAAACTAAACAGTCTTCCCTGCAGCACCAGAATAGAAATTAATGTTGGTTTAAAATTTCCACAAACTGTAAAGGCTGGAAAAGGAAGATTATTGCTATTTAAGGAATAAAGTTTGGGGAAACATTTTTTTTTTGTTCTCAATTACAGAACATAAAATAGAAAAGCGAAATTTAAATTAAAAAAATACTTAAAAAAGAAAATCTAACATTGTGTAAAAACAATGCTGCGGGATAAAATACCAGTCAAATATAAAAGCGAAATGCAGAAGATCTTAAGTAAAAAACAGCGAGGAACAAATAAAAATACGTAAAGTAAATAACGTACGCAATATGCGTTTCAAAGTAAACAAGACTTTAAAAATAAGATCGAAAAGTTTGGTAAAACCGATTTATTTTATTCAAAATAGTCCCCTTCCGACTCAACACAACGCACGTTCTAAAAGCATGTCGAAAGAGTGTTTTAGATCGTCGCACAGTGGGGCAGAATCCCAAAAAGCTGGCCAAAAGTCAAAAAATAAAGTTTTTAATTCCGTAATTTTTACTGGATTGGCTAGAGTAATATCCCAAGTCTCAGAATCCATTACTATTAGAGTCAAATTCCCTATACCTGCTTTTTAAATCATTACAAAGGCGACCGCTGCTCGAGCAACATCTTGCTCGCGCGTAGGAACAGAAGTAAGAGTTGTGTTTAAATGGTTATAAAATTTCGTAGAGTTCACCGATTTATCTCTAACAAAATGGAATGAACTCATAAATGTACGTAGATTATGAATATGTAGGTTAAAATACTCAATATTTTTACAAAAAATAGTAATTGGCTACCAAACTTATGTGAATTTTACGTTATAAAATGAAATAATAATTTAGTTTTGAAGAAAAAAGTTTAATAATTCTGCAGAATTCTGTCATTTAACTTATTGGACAAAAAAGACAAAACTATTATCTGTAAACTAAAAAAAAATCAGCTGCCTATAAGTGCCTAACAACTTTTTGTACAGGTTTTTGTAAAATGTAGAATAAAATGAATTTCGCCTTCTCTGGACGATGTAAGACATGGGAAGATTGCAAATAAAGACGAAATTTTCTCAACTTAAGAAGATTTTTCATCAGATGATGATTCTTTTCTTTTATGAAAAAACTGGAATTTTATATTACAACTTTGGCACGGGATTCAAATAAATCACTCTCGATACATATTTAACGAAATATATAAATAGTCTAATATGTCATTTGTCATTTTTACATCTTCTTTATGCTTGATAAATGTGACATTTTGTATTTCATAATCTTTTAATTCTTAATCCCTATTTAAAAAATATTTCTACTTCTGATATGGCTATATTAAATCCTCCACATTGAATTTTGTAATTCTGACTCCAAATTCGTTATCAGCGATCCCAAAAACCCCCGAGTAACAAATTTCAGATCGATTTTTAAAGATTTTGACTTTTGACCAGCTTTTTGGGATTCTGCCCCACTGTGCGTCGGCCGGTATGTCCTTCAGGATATCGATACCAGCCTTTTATATGGCTTCTACGTCCACAAAATGCTTTCCTTTAATCGACAAATTCATTTTGCCGAAAAGGTAAAAGCCGCATGGTGCTAAATCAGGCGAATACGGCGAGTGATTGACAGTTAAAATGCGACTTTCAGTCAAAAAATCGGTCACAAGTGGCGATCGATGACTTTTGACTTCTCCAAACGAAATTTTTTGGGTTTCTGCTTGTCTGGCGCCTTCCATTCGGCACTTTAGCGCTTGGTTTCTGTATCATACTGAAAACGCCATGTCACGTCACCAATCACAATGTTGTAAAGGAAGTTTTTGTCTTTTTTCGTCTCCTTGATGGTATCCTTCGAATGTTGAATTCTGAACAATTTTTTATCTTCAGTCAACTTGTGCGGAATAAACCGTGCAAACACTTGTCGGTAGCCACAAATGTTGAACCAAAATGCGGTAAATTCATGTGTTCGAGAGTAAAAGTTTTACCAAGTTTAAAATAAAACTTAAAATAAGCTCTGTCCGATGCTCATTTCTGTACCTACCGATGACACAAACAAACTGACGTTCCGCTGCTATTCATTCCTAAAAATGGCATGAAATTTTCACACCACATCAATGAAGGCCCTACCTTTCCGAGGCATAGATGGCCTCACTAGAAATATCTATTTTTGAAAAGTCCTGTTTATTTTGGAAGGCACCTTGCGCAACAAGGTTTGGTTAACATTTACTACATAAGCATTTTTTTATGTTATTGATAAAGTGACATCAAGACGATTTTCATACTTTTGGTAATTTTGAATCATTTAGTATAGGGAGACGTCATTAGTAATTTGGTAATGGGTGTGGGTAATTGTAATGCAGAGTGAAGCATAGAATTAAGGGTATAAATCTATGAAACTAAATCTGCATTTAATGTATTGTTCATGATTTTGAAAACACTATAAAAATTGAAACAAGGAAACAGTTATTGTTGGTGTATCATAAACATTGTAAACATTCTAAATATGACTTTAAACAATCGATGCCTATTCTAATTTATAACACACAGATGTTGCTTATAATGTATTTAAAACCTTTACGTTCTAAAAATCTTTAGAATTGCTTAAAATAAAGCCTACGTTTTTAAAATTTGACTTGGTTTTCAGAAGAAAAAATAAGTCAATAACAAATGTAATATCATTAAATAACGTAACTATTTAGAAATGATTTACCAATCAAAATTTACAATAATTCGTGATCAGTATACCAAATTTAGCGCGAATGGGTTATTTTTTTAAAATTTGGTCTGCCATCTTGGATCCGCCATTTTGAATTTTGTAAAATTGACCTCGGATCCATGATCAGTGACCCCGAAAACCCCCTTATACCCAAATTGGCGCGAATCTGCTATTTTTTGAAAATTCGTGATATGTGATCTTAATGAACCAGTTTTTTTAAGGTTAGAAAAAGAACCATCAATTCTGACCGCTGATTCACGGTCGGCAGGGTCTTAACCATATAAATGAACATTTGAATATAGAAATTTTTTTGTGTTTTTCCAAGCACTTTTTCGTCAATTTTTGCTATTTTTGACCACTTTTTTGAGGTTAGGATATTCCTGTGATGTGATAGCACAATTCTGACACAGGATTCATGATCAGGAGGCAAAAATACTACGAATAACGTATGTCGCATGAAAAGTACAGACAACTTTTTTTTGTGTTATTAATGAAACACTAACTATTCAATTTGTCAGCATCATCGCGCAATCAATAGAATATTTTATTTGCAAAAACAACCAAAGATCGTTCGGATAGAGTAAGTAATTGATATGAAAGTCTTCAGTCAAATCATTAATACAAATACCAAACAAGAACGACCCCAGAGTTGCCCTTTGGGGAACCTCTGAGGATTGATAAAATTTATCTGATTGGGAGCCTGATACTGTCCAAAGTGTTACTGAAATAAGACAAAGAACGATAGAACAGAAATAACAGAATGGGGAAGATACCATATGATTCAAATTTCACTATGAATAGATCAAACAGATTCAATGCTTTAGAGAAATCGGTAAAGATAACAGAAACGGAAGATACTACATAATTCAAATTTCACTGTTAATTAATTGTGATCAAGCCAACTGAACGGCGTATCCAAAGTATCAGCAATAAATTGAGTTTTCTCAACTAAATTTGAGGTACTATTTAAATTTCTGACTTTTCGGCTTACCTAAAAGGGTCCGGGGCTGCAAAGTAACGCATCCTGTGTGAATATATTCTATTAATTGACGGAAAACATCTGGCTCAAACTCTTCAATAATGAGCGTCTGATGCTGCTGTGACGTAGGCTGTATACAACATTAAAAACACTATTTATAAAAAAAACTTAAATTTGAGGGTGGAATAATAAAAAACATGCAATTTTTATAAGTTTAGAAAGGGATAAGTGACGAATTACTATAAATAGAAAAATATCCACATATGAAAATAAGTTATTGGTGCATGTAATATACAAAAGCCTTAAATATGGGGACATATGAAACAAATTAAGGTACAAACAATATATCAAAAGCCGTTGTGTTACATTTACTTTCATTACTATTATGTAGAATAAAAATAAATGAAATAAAACAAAACGTTTTTGATGATACAACGCCAAAGTGATTGTAAGTCTTTATTTTTTTATTTAACATATTATTGGAAAAAATTCCGGGCTAAAACAATAACAAATAAATAAATATGAGCCTTCCACAAATCTCTAAAAGCTTTATTTTCCTGGAGTTTGAATTATAATCTAAAGATGGCGTGCCAGAAGAGTGCATTTTGTGAAAAACTCACAATAAAACGTAAAAAAATTGATAATAATCATATACTGGCAATATACCATGCAAAAACGAAGGTTTTAGGTTATAACTTATGTACAAACTACCTACTACCTATTTAAACGTGACTTATGGATACAGAAGCATGTTAAATATCTTAAAATTAGTAGTCTGTGCACCATGCCACAATATCGAAAATATATACAGGTTTTCACCGTATCTTAGGGATGTGAACCTATATTTAAGTGTTAAGCAATATTTTGCCTTTTTGTGCCTCAAAAACTAACTACTGGATTTGGCTGCAACAAATATGTCACTTGTTCTTATTAATTCGAAACATCATTATATGACATCAGTTTCAAAAATAAATTGTTTTTAACACTAGTGGTAAAATTTAGTTTCTGTATTTTTTCGCTGATCTTCTACAAGTGTTGAATTTAACTGGGTTCTTAGAGCATTTATTATTCATATATATTCTTAATTGTAATAACACAGACAAAATAGCTATCGCCACAGACCGCTCCTGGAATAGGCCAGCAGTTTTAAATTTCCGAATTGCCGGTAGAGTACACCACCAGCAAAATTTTAGGAAGAATCAAATACAGCGGCCCGCATACCTAAGCGTATCCTAGCAACATATAAACAAAACTTTGGTAATGTTGCCAGGCGTACTTACGGATTTCTTTTGTACACTTTTTTATCAATATCTGTTTTTTGCGTTACTGTATTTACTTCAATGCATGATGTAGGTATTGACAAAAATGTTTTTAAAGAATCAACGAATATCTATGTATGTATCATATGATATTCTGCAGTGGTGTTACAATTAAGTTATTTAATAATAATTTCGCTAATTAGCTACCTACTATTTTAATTTTTTGGTATTGAAATACTGCAGAAAATATATTTCCTAATAAACAAAATTCGTAATATGATGATGATTTGATGATGACGGTAAATTTATTTAATATACAAGGTGGGTTATTAGTACGTCGCGGAATGTAGGTACAGGTTTTTTTTTGTATTTTGACATCCACTTATAGGTTTAATAATTAAAGATAGAAAGAAACTTTAAATACAAATGTACGACTTTTCCTTTATTTCATTTGACATGAAAATTTACTGGCATAAAATATTAAAAAAATCATTAAAAAAAATTAAAATTCATCCTTATGAAAATAACAAACAACGCTTTTTATAACTAACCTTTACAACAACATAAGGAGAATAACTAAAAACGAGATAACATTAATATACCTACAATTTTTACAAATCAACATGCAAGTGATTGTGACGATACAGTTGACAATATGTTTCAATTTACTATTAATTGTTTCAAAAACAAATTCAAAATTATCAAGCATTTCGTCCTGTATTTTTTTCAATACTTGCAAACTTTCAGGTTAAAAAAAAATATGTCTAAAGGACTGACAATGAGATCGGGGCTGTTTTCTGGCCACCTAAGGTTTCTAATATTTTTTAGTGTTCGTTGACGGGATTCTTCCTCCAAAATAAATTTGCCAATATTCCTGAAGAACTTTTGCACATTATTGTTATTTGAATAATACAGTTAATTATGTTTTATTTTTCGTCATCAGAATAACCCATTATAATTTTTTAAATTTTTTAAATTAAAATCGGTTATTCTAATAATGATAAATCCCATGTATTTTTAAAAGAAGGTTCGTTTCTGTCGTTTTTGTCTGATTGTGTGCGAGAGAGACAGTTATAGTGTGCGATAGAGATAGAGTGACTCTGCCCTCATAGAGAGCTTATCTCTCTCTCTTTCTCTGCTGGCTTCAGGAGTCTCCCCAGCAATTTCAGGACACCTAGGGAGGGAACGTGGGGTAAAGCGCATGGCCTTGTTAAGCCTTCGTTATCGATCTATGACGTCACACAGTATAAGAAAAAAAAATGGTTTTTGCTCGTAACTCGAAAATGGCTGGAAATATAAACAAATCTCCCCTTGGTTCTGAGTAGAGCACTCGGTGGATGACGCAGGCGGGGTGTCACAATATATGAAAGAAAAAAAAACAGTATTTGCTGAGACTCTTAAGTATCAAAAAATCTCCCATGGTGAACAAATAAATCTCCCATGGTGAACGAGTGAAAAACGGCAAAACCCGCATGTTAAAAAAAAATCGAGGCCAACGGTGTGTGACGTCATAGGATAAAAAAGTGTTTATAACTCGGAAACGTTGCGTTGAATCGAAAAAATAATTGAAAAATGTCAACCCCTCCCTCCCGGGTTCTGTATGTTCCTTCTGAGTTGAATGCAAAAGGTCCGAAGTCCGTATGTCGAAAATAAATTCTGGAAACAAGAGGTATGTCGTATTATAGTAAAAAGGCCGTATAACTCGGAAACGGTGCGTTAAATCGAAAAAATAATTGAAAAATGTCAACCCCTCCCTCCCGGGTTCTGTATGTTCCTTCTGAGTTGAATGCAAAAGGTCCGAAGTCCGTATGTCGAAAATAAATTCTGGAAACAAGAGGTATGTCGTATTATAGTAAAAAGGCCGTATAACTCGGAAACGGTGCGTTAAATCGAAAAAATAATTGAAAAATGTCAACCCCTCCCTCCCGGGTTCTGTATGTTCCTTCTGAGTTGAATGCAAAAGGTCCGAAGTCCGTATGTCGAAAATAAATTCTGGAAACAAGAGGTATGTCGTATTATAGTAAAAAGGCCGTATAACTCGGAAACGGTGCGTTAAATCGAAAAAATAATTAAATAAATCTCCCCACACTCCTGGTTCTGTATGACAGTTCTGCGTTGAATGGAAAAAGTCCGAAGTCTGTATGTGGAAAATAAATTTCGGAAAGAAGAGGTGTGTGAGGTGATACAGTAAAAAAGGTCTTATAATTCGGAAACGGTGCGTTGAATTGAAAAAATAATTAAAAAAAATCTCCCCATTACTCTGGTCATGATTGTCCGTTCTGCGTTGAATGGAAACGGTCCAAAGTCAGTATGTCGAAAAACAAAAAAGTTAGTTAAAAATTGCAACAGCAGTAGCGAACGCATTATCTTATCTCTGTATTGATTGATAATTTGTTGTTTTTTTTAAATAAATTTCGTATTCAACTACTCCTTGAGGTTCCAGCAACTTTACATTGTGTTAATTTTTTTGAACACCTTGTGTCACAAATATGGGCACTACCAATGACATCCATAATATGCAACACTTGTGTCAATAAATAATTATTTACCTATCTAAAGAAATCAACAATAAGAGGCAGTACCCATCTAAGGATACACAATCTGTATAATGCAATTTTTTTAAACATAGGTTTTAATATCGTACCATATTGGAAGTCGACGCACAAATCTAAAACATTACTTTCGAGTTTTTGAATTTTCCCATTCCAAGGTGATATAAAATAAATAATTAATTAGGTAAATTCATAGTTTTAATTCTAACTTGATTTATTTTATTTAACATTTAAGGCAAATGTGATTTCCAAACACAAGATAAGTTCCATATCTCTTTAATTACATAATTGAAAGCATTAAATTTATTTAGCAGTTATTATTTGGCAACAAAGCCACCGCTGGAACTGCCGCTATTAGCAAGTAGAAGAGTTACCACGCTAAATTTTATAGCTGGAAGCCGGCTAAGGAGACCCTGCTTCCATTTCGGGTTGCCAATTTCCAGCATTTAAGTAGCAGTCTGCAGCGATACGCTATATTGTCTGTGGTAATAATTACGGTAACCGTAACCCAGAGGTTAAGTGTATATCTTCTTACCTGTTGCAAAAATGTGTTGATGCAATTGGCAATTTTTGTATGTAATGTAACATTTTTTATAAAAGTTATTTAATATGTTAATCTTTAACCAGATAAAAAGAACCAAACAATTTATGATTTTAATCATTAAATAATAATACGCTCATATTTGCCGAAAATGATCCGACAAAACTAACCCAAGAATAAATTATTATCAAGGAACTACTTATTGTCAGATATCTATTAATTCATATATTTAGTTATAAAATTTAGGGGATAAATTTTTTTTAGTAGGGACTATTTTTTCATGGATAACTTATCCGTTCCAAAATACACTCCAGTGGCGTAGTTATTGGGGGCGTTGGAGACCTTTTTTGGAAAAAAAATCGTACGCCGATGTTTTTAAAATGTACAATCATTTTCTGGCAATAAAGTATTTTTGTAAAGTATTCGTAAAATTTACTGGTCTTTAGATAATTTGGAAATCAAAGAAGATACTTCAGTAGGTACCTACGTTGCTATTTATCAGTTTCTATTGATTGCCAAATGTGTAACAATAAATTCAATACCTAATATTTTTGATATTTCAAAATACTATACAACGCCATTGCTTTGTGTGTTGCAAAACTTTGTTATTCTTTATACAACTAAAAACAGATTTTAATAAAAAGAAAAAATGGTATTCAATTAATTTCTACTGTAAAATACCAGTACCGTAGGTGGCAAGTTGTTAGAAAACAGTACCTAATAATTTTGAAACTGTCACCTATTTTTGTCGCGTTTCTCTGCTAGTTAGGGTCCTTTA